CTGCAGTGGAGTTCGTCTAAATTAATTATTTATTTGAATAGTCAATAAGCACCCAAAGATGGAACAAGAGATTACTAAGTGTAGGCCCATCTGATCTAACCTTGTTTTCTTTTTTTAAGAAAAAAGTATGAAAATGCCTTGATTTGAACTAGTTTCTAGTCTTCGACGGTTTGTAGACAAGATAAAGAAATATGAGCAAAATGGTGGAGCTGACAAATTGCCAAATGGCTCACCAACTTCTTCCAAAGAGTCAAGATGAACAAGAGAAGTGGTAATCCTAACACTGACTCTAAATGACTGGATAAGAAAAGCTTTGGAGTTAGAAAGAGTTGAGTCTGAATTCCGGCTTCTTCATTTTCTAATCAGTTGACTCTGAGCACATTACTTACCCTCTCTAACCCTGAGTTTTCTCATCTTTAAAATGACAATGATAATAATACCCCACTTCTTTGAGTTGTTGTAAAAATTAAATACAATGATACAAAGTTCTGAAAAACAGTAACTGGAGCACTCTTCTAGAACAATGCTAGGCAACATAATCATAACCATCATTATTAATAAATAAAAAGGAAGGAGGTCTCTAGTGACTGTCTAGTACTTTTTAAATTAATGCCTCAGATGACAGTAATGAAAGTACACCTATTAAATTCCAAATTTTACACCTGCCGCTATAAGTTTCTTCATCTTATATTTTTCTAATTTACACTTTGCCCTATGATTGGATTTTACACTCATTTTGATTTAGCTTCATCTTTTCAATACCAATTAATTGGTTCTTCCTTTTTAAAATCTTTAAGTCTGCCTTCTATTAGTTCTCCCTCAGAGCCACAGAAAAGTGTCTGGATTTAGTAACATGGTAAAGTTTGATTCCATTTATGGAGATATGGAAATTTGTGGTTGGGGGTGTGAGTGTAGAAGAACTAAGAATTCAATTTGAGATTCCTAAGAGACACCTATATGGAGTTGTCAAGGAAACAAACTGGATCTTCTGTCTGGAGCTCAGAGGAGAGCTAAGTCCTGGAATACTGACCAAAGAGAAAGCTGGCAGCATGAAGATGGTATTTCAAGTCACGCACGGTAAAATCACAAAAACTGGAAGTATATTTTGAAAACAGTACCAGGAACCAAGTCCCGAAGAACCCCATCAGTTAGAGGCCAGGTAGAGAAGGAAGAGCCTGTAAAGAAACTGAAAAAGAGCTGCTGGTGCGTGAGATGGAAAACTAGGTAAGTATGGTGTTTAGGAAAATTGACGTAGGAAGTATCTCAAGAAGGAAGCTGAGCCAAATCAAAGGCATCAAATAAAAATACTTTTTCACAATTGTAAACTTCTATAAGACAAAAGTTAACTAAAGTTCAAAAACAAGCAGAAGATGGGGAGATGTGTTTGCAAGTGATATAACAAAGGATTCATATTCAGAATATAATAAAGAACACCTAGGAATTAATTTTTGAAATATAACAAAATGATCACAAAAAGGGACAAACACATAAAGATGCAGTTCACTAAAGGATAAATATAATAGTCAGTGACTAATTTAAAAGACGTTCAATCTGACAAATCATTTGGGAAACGCAAATTAAATGAGAGTATTTTTTAAAATTAACAAAATAACAAAAGATTAATAATATTCGGTGTTGGTGAGGAGAAGGAGTAAAGAATGCCAACTGCCACGGTGTGCTAGGAGGTCAATTCAAAGGTAAACGTAAAATTTAATGAGCATACATGCCAATGAAGCAACTTCCCTTTTGGTAGCTGTTTGAAGGAAATGCTAGCACATGCACAAAGAAACTGTACAAAGGCATTACAAACAGTATAGTTTGCAATAGCAAAAAAATTAGAAACACCTACATGTCCACTAATGGGAAATAACTAAATAAATTTTAGCATGTATTTTTAGTAATGCAATTATGGAACAGTAAAAATAAATAAGTTAGCTCTCTATGATCTTCAGTGAAATGATCTCCAAAATGTATGGTAAAGGACAAAGAGCTGCCGGACGCGGTGGCTCATCCCTGTAATTCCAGTAATTTGGGAGGCCAAGGCAACAGGATTGCTCGAGCCCAGTTCGAGACCAGCCTAGGAAATATAGCAAGACCTCATTTTTACAAAAAAATAAAAACATTAGCTGGGCATGGTGGTACAAGCCTGTAGTCCCAGTTACTCTGGCGGCTGATGTGGGAGGATTACCTGAGAACAGGAGGTCAAGGCTGTGAGCTGTGATTGTGCCACCATACTCCAACCTGGGTGACAGAGTGAGACCCTGACTCAAAAAAAAAAAGGCAAGATACAGAAAAGTACAGATAGGGTGGTCCCATTTATATAAAACACAGTGGGAAAAAGCTATGATTTTGTGTGTTATTATAAATGTTTGTAAATACATTTAAAAGATCATCAGACTAATGTAAATTTTTTTGTCTCTGGGGATAAGGGTAGGATTAGCAGCATAAAAGCTGATAATGTTTTCCATTGTTTTGGTTTTATATTTCTTGAATTTAACTGAAATTGCTGATGTTCTGGGCTTTTTAAGAAAAATGCAAGAAACAGGGAGGTATCACTCTATAACACTCCCAGATCTTAAGCTTTATTGTAAAGCTACAGTAATCAAAACAGCCTGGGCCAGGCTCGGTGGCTCAGCCTGTAATCCCAAGCTTTGGGAGGTTGAGGTGAGTGAATTGCCTGAGCTTGTGGGTTCGAGACCCGCCTGGGCAATTTGGCGAGACCTCATCTCTACAATAAATCAAAAAATTAGTTGGGCGTGGTAGCACACGCCTGTAGTTCCAGCTACTTGGAAGGCTGAGGCAGAAGGATCGCCGGAGCCCAGCAGGTCGAGGCTCCCAGCCACTGCACTCCAGTCTCGGTGACAGAGTGAGACTCCAACTCAAAAAAAAGGAAAAAATTTTTAAGCCGCATTAAGATAAAACAACTGACGTGGAGAATAAATTTTATGATTTGTTAATTTATTCATCAAGATTTTAAGTTTCTGCTACATATCAGGCAACATACTGAGTATTTGACATGTAGCAGTGACTAAAATAGGCAGAATTCTTGTCCTTGGAAGACTTGGCCTCTGGTGGCTTCAGGTTTTAGCTGCTCCGCATGCTACCCTTACTCCTAGGAGGTTTCCTACCCCACAGAAAATACCATAGAACAACTTCCTGTAGTTTCTATGACATGAAGAAATGTAAGGAATAAAATATGGCATACACATTCAAATGCCATCTCTAAATCTCTGTCTCTATGCTTGACAATCATCCTGCAACACAGCATCAGTAAAGTCTTGGGCTGCCCTAGAAACTCCCAAACTATTTCTATGACAGTTTCTATGGGAAAAAGCCATCAACTTCTCTACTACTGGCTGAACAAATGCATTGCTCAAGTATATACTGTTTGTAACTTGTCGACAGCCTGTACTTAAGCAACCTCTAACTTAAATAGCTAAAAACAACCTGGCACCTGCACATAAGTCCTTGCACACACACTTTATGGTTGAATTCTTTCTATGGCACTCATTGAGGCATAATAATTAAGAGAGAATGTCAGCCTCTAGGAGTATCCTTTGGAAACTTGCCACCAGCTGGAATTTCAGCACCATGCCAGGCTTTAGCCACAAGTCTGTCTACATCAGTAGCAGAATTCATGCTTCTGAACAGCCTCTGAGGCACAGCGTTTATATATCAAAACAATTATTATTTTTTTTTCTTCTTTCCTTACACATGCAGATAAAGATATCCCCCAATTTTCGGCTGCCAGAACAGCTGAATACTATTACCATCCAAAAAATTAAACGCTTGCTTTAAAGAAGGAACTCTTTAGAAATTCCCATGCATTCCAGGGCAAGGAAAAAAAGTCACTGACAATCCATCTTTATTACAGGACAAATGTACTTAATTACATATGACTTTTCACAGCTGAGAACAATTCTAGCCCAGGGTGGTCAGAACATTCTCGTTGTTTGTAAAGTGGCATCATAACTAGACATTGACCATTCAACCTTAAGGTCACTGCCACCTCCATCCACCTTGATGACCTTGGAAAAATCACTAGACCTTTCCATGCTCTCTTCTATCCCATGTCCTTCCTCACACTGTTCTAACGGCCTGGAATGGCTTCCCTGATATCGCCTCCATAATGCAAATTCTTATAAAATGTGGTTCTCTGAGGCCTTCCCTGAGACTCTTAAGCCAAAGCAGTGTCCCTCCTAGTCATATTCACACTCTAGATTGCCCATGTCCCCATGATGTCATTGGTCATATGGCACTCCTTCTGCATATTCATTATTCCACCACTTTAGTTTATCATGTTATTTATGGCCATCTTGGGTTATCAGGCAGTATGCTATTACAACTGGTTCTACTAATATTCAATTATTATTACTGTGATGAGTATTTACTATGTGTCACGTCTCATATGAATATATATGCCTAATTGTCACAAAAACCCTATGAGATGAGGATGACCAGGATTATCATTTTTTAAAAAGTAGGTAGGAAAGTAAACCAAGAAAGATCATACAGACGGCGAATAGGTGCACTGTTAGTACTTTAAATTAATATAGACTGTTAACGTTTTTAACCACTACTAACATATTACCTCTAAATAATAATGAACAACATTTATTAAATGCTTACTAGGTATTGGCTCTGTACTGTGTGCTCTATATACAGTTATTAATTTGATCCTCACAAAAACTCTATAATGTAGATATAGTGACTATGATCTTAAGTTTTTTTAAAAAGTAGAATTAAGGTTAGAAAAGGTTAGATGATCTTTCCAAGGCCACAGAACTATGTAGACTAGATTTGATGCAGGCCAGTCTCCTTCCAGAGCCTGAGTCCCCGCCCACTACTCTATTCCATGACTAGATGGTAGAATCCACTTTAATCTTTGCAAACTCTGCACAGGTTTTCGGGAATAACCCCACTGGAAACAGAAGACTGGCACATCACCCCTTCTGATGAATACCAATCAACCAAACTGATCGACTCCTTGTTACACTCACCTTAGTACGTGTGTGGATCCATTGATGGTCGTGGTTGAACAGGGGACTGTCTGGCCCAGAATGGAAGGTCTTCGGTAGCGCTCATCATCACAGCAGAGGATGATGAGAAAGGCACGTCTAAAAGACTTGTTCAAGAAGGCGTAGAGAAAGGGGTTCAACCCGGAATTAATATAGCCGAGCCAGAGGAAAGCGGTCCACACTTGCCCAGGGACAGTGTAGTCTATGAAAGGATCCACAATGTTGGTGACAAAAAATGGAGCCCAGCAGAGGCAAAAGCAGCCCATGATGATGCACAGCGTCTTGGCTGCTTTGGTCTCTGTCCTCATGCGGTGAGTGCTGTGCTGGTCCGCTGGCTGGGGTCTTCCCTCAGAGGGGGCTCCAGCCCGTTGTAGCATCTGGATCTGGTGGGCATGCTCCTTGGCTGTGACATAGATGCGATAATAGGCCAGCACCATGAGAAGAAATGGGATGTAGAAGGCCACCACAGAGCAGGTGATGGCGTAGGGCTTGTTGACCATGAAGATACAGTAAGTGGCGTTAGAGTTCTGGTTGAACTTCCTTTTTTCTATCTGAGAGTTGGAGAAAGAGAGGAAATGAGAGAAGGGAGGACAAAGGGAAGAAAAAAGCAAAACAGAAGAAACAGTAGACAAGTAGGGAAAAGCATAATTCAAAAAGTGAAATAGAAAAGGGGAGATTAGAAGATGGAAAGGAGAGAGAAATGGGAAAGAAAGAGAAGGAAGAATAAAAGAGTAAAGGGAAAAGGAAAGAAAGAAGAAGGTTTATCAGCAAAGTTTTGGCTTTGTTATAAGCCTAGCACACAGAATTTTGATGGCAGAAAAGGAACGTGATCACAACCCAGGGCTAGAGAGCTTGTCTACACAAGAGGAACTGAGGGTCCCGGGAAAGAAGAGAAGTAAAATGGGGACAGAATCATTCTTCATTCCATCTGCCCATCCAGTTGTGGAGTTCTGCCTCTGTTCTCCCTTCCCTGTCTGTTTGCACATAACATACCAGGGTCTCTTAGCAGCGTGCCTGGAACCATTCTCAAGCTGGCTCTTCGGGGAATGCCATGGGACACTTGCCTTGACTCAATTCTCTGCTTCCTGATTGCCCGATAAAAGTTTGTCTCATTTAGACAACAGTGTTCAAAGGACTGATGTAGAGTAAAGGCTATGAGGGTAGATATTTTAAAGTCATGGGAGAAAAGCATACATAGACTGGGTAGGGAAAGTTCATTAGGGACCTTGGAACCCAACCAGAGTTAGAACTCAGGCAATGCTCACTGCCTCAACTTAACTCCCATTCTCTCCTGAATCTGCTCCATTTAGGTTTAGCATTGCAGTTGCTCTGGTCAAGGACATCAGTGACCTCCACGCTACCAGGTCCAGTCCTCCCTTTACATGAGCCATCTACCCCTTTGACACACATGAACCCTCCTTCTTTCCCCTGTTTTGGATATTTTATTGAACTAAAATATACATAAAGTACATAAACATTAAATGCATAAAAAGATGGATGAGTTATTACACGATAAATATACCTGTGTAATCAGTATTCAATTCAAATTATAGAATATTAATGGCAACTCTGGAGGCTCCTGAGTGCCTTCTCCCGGCCACTACTATGCCTAAAGGCACCCACTAATTTTTATTACCATAGATTAATTTTGTTTTCCAATTTAGTATCAAAACAATAATAAAATATGTACTATTTGTATCTCTAATTTAACATTGAATCACTTATATTAGTTCAATAACTAATTCTTCATTGTAGTATAATCTTGCATTGTAGGAATAAACCACAATTATCATCCATTCCAATAATGACAGAAACTTGAGTCATTTTCAGGTTTTGACACTGTGTATGTGCATGTGTGTGTGTGAGTGTGTGAGCGTGTGTGTGTGTGTGTGTGTGTGTGTGTGTGTGTGTGTGTGTGTCACCCAGGCTGGAGTGTAGTGGCATGATCACCACTCACTGTAATCTTGACCTCCTGAGCTCAGGCAATCCTTCGACCTCAGCCTCCCGAGTAGCTGGGACTACTGGTGCAGGCCACCATGCCCAGCTAATTTTTTTTTATTATTTATTTTTTGTAGAATTGAGGTCTTGCTATGTTGCCTAGGCTGGTCTTGAATTTCTGGGCTCAAGCAATCCTTTCGACGTGGCCTCCCAAAGTGCTGAGATCACAGGCATGAGCCACCATGCCCAGCCCAGATTTTGGCTATTTTGAATAAACTGCTATAAATATTCTTGTACAAGTTTGTGTGTGTATGCATATATTTTCATTTTTCTTTGACTGAATAGGGAAAACACATATTCAGCCGTGATAGATACAGTCAATAGTTCCCAAAGGAACCATAACAATTTACATTCCCACCTCCAGAATAGGAGGGCCCATTATTCCACATCTTCACCAACACTTGGCATTTACTGGCAGTATATAGTGGTGTCTTATTGTGGGTTTGTTGTTAACAGTGGTAAAGCTTTTGATTATGTCAGTACAATACTCCGTGTGTTCTTGACACTCCTTCCAGTGGTTTAGAGTAGGATTTGTCTTATGCTTTGTGACTAAAAAGTGTCCTGGGCATCCACACTCACATAATTACAGTGCACTGACATCACTCCTTTCCACAAGCACGTGAAACTGAGTTTCTGCTTGTTTCCTAATTAGCACTCTGCTTCCTTCAATGGGACAATGGCATTGCCTTCAGAATGATGAAATACTGCTTAGTTCTTGTCAGTTCCCATTCTTCTTGCTGCTGTACCCTCAATTCCAATCCGAGGAAGTCATCTCCAACTCTCACTGTGCCTTCTCTGCATCTCTGCCACATGTCTATCCTGCCCTGCCTATCTGACTGGAATTTTGAATCAAGTCAAATAAACTCAAATGAGATCTAGGTTCACTATGACCCTTCAGATTCTTATTGTGGTTTTGCTGTGCATTTCCTGATACCTTATACTGTTCATCACCATTTTGCCATTTGGATATTTTCTCTTGTGATTATTCAGATATTTTTCCATCTTAAAAACTGAGCTGTGACTCTCTTTCTTATTGATTTTTAGTAATTCTTTCATATTTTGGATATATATTTTGTCAATATGCATTGCAAATATCTCCTATCATTTTGTGGCATGCCTTTTCGCTCTAGCATCTTGTGATAGAAAGAAGTTCTTATACTTTTGGTTAATACTTTTTGTGTCCTGTTTATGAAATCTTTGTTTACCCTTAAATATAAAGTTATTACCACTTCTAAACTTTTAAAGACATTCTCCTATATAATTGGTTACCATATCCTTATTGTGTTAGTTTTTACATTTAATTATTCTACCCATCTGAAATTATTTTTTCTGTATGGTATGATATAGGAGATAAGATTAAATTTTTACCTTATGAATATTTAATGGACCCAGCAGTAGGTATTGAAAACACCACCCTTTCCCAATTATACTGCAATATAAGCTTGTCATAAATCAGGGGACTATATATGCATGACTCTGTATTTGGATTTTTCTATTTTGTTCTCTTGAGTTGTCTGCCTATACATATACTGTTTAACTTCTGTAGCTTTACAAATCTTGGCTATCTGATAGTAAAAGTCTTTGAACTGTGGTTCATCTTCTTGATGACTATTAAATATTTTTATATCTCAGTATTTCCAAATACAATTTAAATGTTTAACAATTTTCATAACAATCTTCTAGGATTGAGAAAAACTGACATCTTGATATTGTTAGGTCTTCCAACTCATAAAACTGGCAATTTCCTTTTAATGTCTTTTAGAATTTATTTCAGTAATATTTTGTAATTTTCTGTATGTCTTACACATCTTTTGTTAGATTTATTCTAAGTTTTTTATGTCTTTGTTCAATTGTAAATGGTACCATGTTAAAATTATTATTCTTAATTTTTTTTTACTGATATATAGAACTCAGTGAAGTGTTTTTTGGGTTTTTTTGGACATTGACTATGTATCTAGCAACCCTGCCAAATTAGTTATTAACTAATATTTCATCTCTATATTCATTTGAATTTTCTCTATGAAACACTTATAAGATGTACAAATAATGACAGTTATATCTTTTCCCTTTCCAATCTTAATTCCAGTTTTTCTTGTTTTATTTAACTTGATAGGGTCACCAGTCTAATTTAGAATAAAAGTGATAATGGTTGACACCTTGTTTCATTTTCAATCTTAGGAGGTGAGCCTTTACTATTTTACTACTAAGTGTGATGCTTATTATAAGGTTTATGTCATTGCCCTCTACTTGATTGAAGAGGTTCCCATCTATTCTTAGTTACATGAGATTAAAACAAAATCATGAATGAATACTGAATTTGTCAATATGGTTTTGGCAATAATGAAATGATCATGTGAATTTCCTCTTCTTTCCCTTATTGATGTAGTGAATTACATTGGTTGCATTACATTCCTGGAATAAATATCACTTGTACTGGATACTGTAACCCACCAGTTTTGTTTTTTGTTTTTTTTAAGGAGTGAAAGGACTTTTTCACCAACTATGAACACTACCTGCTGACAATTCTAAGTCATCAGCTTTCTCCAGGTATATCTCTTTTTTTTTTTTTGAGTCAGAGTTTCACTCTGTCACCCAGGCTAGAGTGCAGTGGTAAGCTCATAGCTACTGCAGCCTCAGCCTCTGGGCTCAGGTGATCCTTTCACGTCAGCCTTCCAAGTAGCTGACACTACAGGCAGATGCCACTACACCTGGCTAATTTTTTGATTTATGGTAGAGATGAGCTCTCACCTTGGCCTCCCAAAGTGCTGGGATTACAGGTGTGAGCCACAACACCCAGCCAGGAATAGCTCTTGACTGAGGACAGCTGCCTTTCCCTATGTCATTTCTCCTCCTTGGGGTCAGTCTGCGCCCAATGTGAATATATACATTAATAAAGATATGGAAAATAGACACATATGTGATATATCACAAACATGTTATTTTATTAGTTGTGCACACATTTTGTATCTTGTATAAAATATGATAAGATTATCATATATCATTCTCTTGAATTGATATTCTTATCAATATGAAATATTTCTATCTCAATATAAATTGTATTCTATCACTTATAACAGTAGAACGATATCAGGTTTTTTTGTATTAGTACTTGCATCGTGCCTCTCTTATCCATTATTTTATTTTCAATTTTTCTATTGCTTTATGTTTAATGAGTCTCTTAAAAGCAGCATGTATTTGTATCAATTAAGTCTGATAATCTTTGTCTTTTAGTATCTCTTCTTTGAAGAATTTAATAATTTAATACATTGTCACAGTTTGATTTATTTTTAAGTTTACCACCTTACTATTTTCTATTAATCTCATTTTTTTGCTCCTTGTTTCCTTATTGTTTATTTTTAGAATAATACCATTTTTATATTATCACATTATTTCCCACCTATTAGCTTATTGATGATACATTCCTTTATTACCTTTATTTTAAACACTATACCTCACTACAGACTACTTAATACATTTACCATTCCCTTGACAATGCAAAGATCCAAAACAGCCTATCTCCATTTACTTAGCTCACTCCTGCCTTTTATACCTT